GAAAAGCAAAAAAAAAAAAAAAAAAGCACAGACTGCAAGCAAGTTGTATGCGCTGGAGGGAAATGATCGAAGTTTCCTAAATATTAAGGATTTCTACCAGATCTTACAGCTTTGTAATCTTTTAGGTCTTGTCTTAATTGCATAGGAAGACCTAATGCACCCCCCACCGCCAAGCCCTGCCTTGGTACAAGAGTTACATTACCAGACGTGCAGCAAGCCTTCTGCATCTGGCAGAGCCTTCGCGTTTTCCTTACACTCTCACAGCGATGAAGCTGACTGAATGCGAGGTAGAAACAATTAGGATTACAGGAATCTTGACTACAAACATTTCAGCCCCACCTGGATCATGCTAATTTTACAGGCAGCTGTAAAATTAACTCTTACTAAACTCTCACCATTTACCAAGGAAACAATTGAGGGCAAGTTTATTTTTCACCAGATTTTCCGGAGTGAATAGAACAAACGTAGAGCAGAGCATCATGCAGATTTAGTAATAAAACCCCAGGTAATCCCCCGCACACTGGGGACACCACCACACCCCATACCGAGTGTGCAATACTAGCCCCAGGAGTAGGAAATAGGAGAAGGTACAGTTTTCCTAAACAGCAAGAACTATGAACAATTTCTGGTTACTGTTTTAGGACCCATGTTACAGCACACATAGAAAAACTCATTATCAGCTGTGGACAATATGAAGGCTGGGGTTTTTGTTTGTTTATTAAAAAAAATCTGTTATCACCAAGATGTAAGGAGCTGGTGGTATTTTCTTGAATTTGAGTAGTGAGTCTGCAAGTCCCAACTACCTGAAAACATGTCAACAGTTGTGTATACCTTTTGTAACAAAGAATTCATTTATCCTTGATCTTCTAATTTATTTGTGTGATTTCCTAGGGTTTAAAATGCCACTCCCTTTTTAACCTGAATCTACGATAGCATGTAGTGAATACATGAAGATCAACACCATATACATTTTTTTTATTTTGTAACTAATAAGAACAATTTGCTCACTTGGAAGCCAAGAGATGGGTGTATTACCTTTGACATACATCTGAATGTAAAGGAGACTTCTGTCACAAACTCCGCAATTTTTTTAAGGAAAAAAATAACAAAAATTATCAAGAAGTTAGCTTACAGTATGTATGCAGACCTTTTAAAAATCATGTTCTAGTTATGCTCCAGCAACTTTATTTCTTGCTTTGAGAAAGAAATTAATATAATCGATAACTGAAATGTTTTGAAAAGTCAACTAGCAAGCGTTTAAAAAAAATATAGAACAGTTTAAATTGCAACCATTAAAATTTAAATGTTTAAGTCAGGTGTCCAAATTTTACAATGTCTTTCAGATTTTTGTTTTAGAATGTCATTAAGGTATAGAACACAAATCTTTTTGTGAATGAAATTTTTATTTACACACTGTATCCAGAAGCAGATACATAAATTGTTATACAATTATTTTTCAAAAATGTGCAAGAAATTACTATAATTTTGTTTACAAACCAAAACACATTAAAATCAATGGACTTTGGATAATTCACTCTGCGGTGTGCTTAGTACAAATAGTGCACACCAAGTCTGAAACAGAGAAAAGTGTAAACTACAGCAATCTGGATTGCAAGTATTAACTTCATGGCACTCCATCATCACTATAAAAATTGTTTAACCCAACAGGTATTCATACAAAATTCTTTTAAGAATTTTTCGTTATCTGTGTAGAATTTAGAACACTTTCCAGATACAACGCCATATTTCCCATATTATGAACTACTCAATTTGTATTTATAAAGAATACCTGTAACTTTTATTTTTTTGCAGTCATAAAAAGATATTAAGAAATTAAACTGGCAATTGTTAATTTATCCATAGCTTAGCTCAGAATTTGAAAGATCAGTAACAGAGGAATATTTCTCGTAAGAATCATAGCCCATATATTGCTGGTATGCTGTTTTAAATTCATAATTCCAGTATTCACATAGATGAAATGCATCAAAACAAAAACTGCACAGATTTCACTTAGCCCAGCAGTCATTATTCACAGAAAGAAATTGGCTTTTACAAAATGCAAAGTCAGCTCATCTGAGAACAAAGGTTTTAATTAATTACTGCATTTCTGATCCTTCTGACAGAAAAACATTTTGATAAAACGATGGCATTCACAATGTCAACAGCAGGATAAGCGCTATATCCTTCAAATAGATCAAAATACAAGTCACTTTCAGTTGTTTATAACACTGGCTTACAAAAAAAAATAAAACAACAGAGGAAACTGCAAATTTATTTTTCTATTTCCAAATACAAGGTGTTGTTTTACTCTTCTAATTGGTAAAACAGATGCTATCAATAATGTCAATCATTTGAGATGCTCAAAAACGAAGTTTTATTTCAAAATTTCATTTTCAAAAATTTTTTTCAAAATTCAGTTGCATAAAAAGCACACCTTTTGAACCCTTAGACTGTTGTGCTGAATAAATAGCCATATTTCTACTCTATAAGGATCATAGCCAGTTAACTTTTATTCCTAGTGTATCTACTTCCAAAGGCCCCCAAAACATCCTCAATCATTTTCCTTTTATTTGTCAAGGACGCTCTGTTCCTCTAATTTTCAAGAAGCGGAAGTCAACACAATTTTTGTGGTTACTCTGGGTACTTCTAAATTGTCTCATAACTAAATGTTACTTTGTTTCATTAATTTTTTTATTCTAAGAAACTGTAAGTATCTTTGATGTTTTCAAAGTCATTTTTCCGGGTTCCTTCTCCTGGCTGCCCAGTTACCTCAGTATGAAAAAATACCGCGAGGTTTTGATTAATGAAACCTGTAAAAATAAGTATTTGTGTCTACCTACTAATGATGTAAAATATTTTGAGTTTAGCAGAAATATCACCACCATTTTTCATTTAGAAACAAAGTGCTACATGGTTCAAACATCCTAGGCCTTAACCACTTTACAATGTTCTTTTTGTGGCAACTTGAGGGGGGTGGAAATGGCAAAGTTAACTTGACCTGATTAAGTCTGCAGATGAAGAACACAGCAAGCAAGGCAACTAAAAAGTGGATAGCTGAACCAAAATTAAAAAAAACCAAAACAGAACACCAACATGTATGAGTTGAACAAACTGAAATTTATAAAGGCATGGGCAAGAAATTTAGCACGGGTTCTTGCACGTTTTTCCAATTCAGCAATAAGACCAGGATATTACAGCTTCAAATATTTAAATTTCAATGCAATGACTGCTAAATTAATGCATATGGCATAGTATAAACATATGTTTAATGCATTCAGTAGTGGCATTAAATGGCAAAGAAAATATTTAATATACTATAATCTTTGAAAGATTCTGTAGAACGTATAGGCCCTCTAGCTTGTATGGGGAAAGAATTTTTAAAGTGAAGAAAATGCCAGAGGTTTTCTTCCAAAAGTATGCATCTGAAATCCATAAAAATCATCATCTTTTTCCTCCCCACAGACAGAATCAGAACACTGTACCATACAATAGGTTATTGTGCCTTTTTGAATAAAGTTAGTGATCCTGATTCGGGGAGGGTCAGGGGAAGTCCATAGAGGGGAAAAAAGAAAAGAGAATTCACACTTTCATACATATGTCAATGGCAGAGCCAACAAATTACAGATATAGACTGCTCTAGATTTTTTTTTAAAGTTTAAAACTTTATCAGACTAAAGAAGAAATTCTTATTCTCCCTCCCTTAAAAGCAAAGGCAGCCTTTATCTACCTCTGATTTTCTTTTTATTATTTTTTAGCTAAACATTATGGTCAAAAAATAAATTAAAAAAATATAAATTTTGTCTATCAATTCAGGCAACCCAAGATGTAGTGCTATTGCACCACCTTGCAGCAATACTGTATTCATTACTAAAGACTCATTTCAGGGGACAAAAAGGCTAGATTAAACAAGGAGAAGAAAATGACCTAAACAAGCAAGCCGTATCAAAGATGAATAGCCTTTTCTAAGCTGATGTTTACTGACTTGCAACTCCTACCAGAGATGGGGAAGATGACACTCTAAAATACAAACCAGGGGGGCGGAGGCAGTTAAGCCTCCCTCCCAAGCTAGCTATGACCCATTTAACAAATAACTCATGAAAGTGGTAAGAGTCACAGGGGGAAAAAAACCTGAAACAAAAGAGGAAAATGCCATGGATTAACCTTGCATGACGAAAACATTAC